TTGCAGCCAAATTCTTCCAGTGCATGACATTATTCATAATCTCCGTGCTTTTATCACTCTCCATGACTTTGTATATACAATTCCTCAAAGCCTCTTTTCTCACTATTTCCTTCTCATCAATAGAAGCTCTTATTCCCACTTTCCAAACATCTACAACAAGCTTTGCATTAATGCCTTGGTCTGACCAAAGTGGTATTGCAACAATTGGAAACTCCTAAACTCAATGCTTCTAATGTTGAATTCCAACCACAATGTGTTACAAAACACCCTATTGCCTCATGAGCTAGAACCTTTAATTGGGGGCACCATGCCACAACCAAGCCATTTTCTGATTTCTTTTCAAAGTCTTTTGGGAGCTTAGTCTCTTCACAGGTTTTCACAATCCATAAAAAGTAACTTCCACAATCTTTCAAACAATGTGCTACTTCTTCTATTTGTTCTTCATTGAGTGTTGCTATAGTCCCAAAAGAAACATAAACAACTGACCTTTTTGGCTTATTATTTAGCCATTCTATACATTCTTCATTTTTGAATTCTGAAACACCATAATCTTCATCATCTTTAATTTTCTTATCTAAAAATCTATTTGGTATGGAAGGCCCTATGGTCCTAAAGTTGGACCAAATCTTCATTGTCCAATCACCTACCTACAAAAACAATACACAAATAAACTGTTAGAACAACAACTAGTATACAAGATTAAAGAAAAACTAAAATAAAAGATAATGAACACGATCGATCTTTGTTAATATAATACGGTCAATAGTATCTACCTCTGCGAATATAAAACTATTATCTCAACTTTTTACTTACCTCTTTCTCCAGCTCAAAGAATGAATTGCAAAGGATCCAATCAGCTTTTTCAATGTTAGAGAACTGGGCCACAACTAAATCAAGATAACTTGGATCTTGTTCATAGGTAAAGTAAAAAGAAGGCATGTCCCTATGCTGTAGTTGAGGAAGTGCAGGAAGAGATATCACTTGCTCAGCAAAGGGAGGTTTCAACTTTCCCAAATGAACATGATAGTATATACTATTCATAGCAAGATTTTGAGTAAAAAAAGATGCACCAATAATTCCAAATCTCTTTGCAACATCTAGACACCAAGGCATGAATGAATCATAAATAACACAACCAACATGGTTGTTTGATGTACCATTAAGTTTGTTGATAAGAGCAGCAAGAGATTCTGGACCAACTTCCCAAAATTGACTCAAGTAGTGTTTGAAATTCTTTGGTGTTATAACTTGGTCCAAACCATCAGAAATTGTCTCGATTGTAATGGAAGATGGCAATTTTGGTAAGTTTTTGTAGTTTGAAAGGGTTGTCACAAGTGTGACTCTTACTCCTTGGTGTTGTATAAGCTTGGAGAATTCTAACATTGGATTAATGTGACCATGTGCTGGAAATGGTACCACCAAACAATGGATGGTTTTGTTCTCCATTGCTCTTACCAAACTTTCTTGAATGATGTTTGTCGGTGAGAGAGAAGATTGTTGAAGTGTTGAACTTTGAGTCTCAACTTTGTTTTCTTCTTATGCGGTGTGAAATTATTGAAGTATTTTCTTTTGCTATAAGTTTTCGACTTTATTGGAGGTAGGTAGGTATATACAACAGTTGAGATTTAAAAACCTTTTTCATGGAAAGATATTTAAATTCTTAGTAGAATAATATCAGAATAAACGAAACTATGTGCTATTTAATATTAGTTTCGTAGATCTTAGTAATATATTTTTGTTGTTAGAGTAATATGATACCAGTAAGTCAGAGACCGAGAATATTTTTGTTGTTAGAGTACCAAAGAGTTAGATGTGAATTTTATTGTAGACCGTAAGTTGTTGACTAAATCAATGTATTATTGTGTTAGAGCGGGCAAAAAGACCGAATTAATCGTGCTTGCTCGAAAGCTCGCGAAAAAATCCATGCTTGAACAAGAAAAAAAAGATAATTTTTCATTGCTTTTTATTATATTGGATGTATCTCTAAAAATTAAAAAATATTTTTGATAAATTTAGAGATACATTGTGAATATATAAGATATTATTTTTTAATAAAATTTAGTTCGAAGATACATATATAAAGTCACTTTTCATTATACATTAATAAATAAGTTGTGAGATATATCTCCGAATACATTTCAAAGATAAATTCGGAGATGTATTTATAAATTATTGCCTGTGTGTTTTTTCCATAACCAATTTACTAAAATTGTGGTGTTTTTAATCCAAACTAATTTTTAATTCGATTAATATTGTTGTTATTTGTTTCAACCTTTAATAAAAACGAATATTAATCGAGTAATGCGTTAATAAAACAGAATACTATAGAAACGAATATCAGAAATATTGTAATAGTACAACAATTATTTTTCATGTCAATGAAAAATAAACAAAATACAATCTCAAAAATATAGTCTACTGAGTATGCCTAATCCTAACACCACAGTTCCTCCTTTGCCCACACTGTTGCACCCCAAAATTTGCCCTCCCATGTTTTCCAAAGTCTTCCCCCTGCATGGTTGACCAGAAACCCTTGCCTAAGGAAAAAGAAAATTTTTTGAGCGGTGCTTTAAGTACCTTTCGATTGGCATTCTGAAAGGCCCTTCGATTGGTATTCGGAAGGAGCCTTCGATTGGCATTATGGACAAGCACTTCGATTGGCATTATGTCAAGGCCTTCGATTGGCATTCTGAAAGACCCTTCGATTGGTATTTTGAAGGAGCCTTTCGATTGGCATTATGGACAAGCACTTCGATTGGCATTATGTCAAGGCATTCGATTGGCATTCTGAAAGACCCTTCGATTGGTATTCTGAAGGAGCCTTTCGATTGGCATTATGGACAAGCACTTCGATTGGCATTATGTCAAGGCCTTCGATTAGAATTCTGAAAGGCCTTTCCGTTTGGCACCCTGGGCCAAGCCTTTCAATTGGCATGCCAAGGGATCCTTCGATTTAGCATTGTGTCAAGGCAGCTTCGGCAGACATGTTAGCCATGTCCTTCGATTAACATGAACAACACCTTTCGATTGGCCTGTTAACAAAGCCTTTCGATTGGAATTTTAATTAGTACCCTTCGATTGATATTTGGACAAGGGCCATTTAAAGAGCTCCTTCCAGGCCATTCGAAAGAGGCCATCAAGAGGGCACTCAAAATAAAAACATGTCCAAGTACACTAAACATGAGAAAATGGCATGTTTTCCTTGCAAATATAGAAATAATTAAATGCTGATTGTGGATTCAATTCTTTAGTTAAAGGCCAGATTCTTGCCTTTTCTGTTCCTAACTCCACAAGAGCTGATTCGACCAGAGTGACTCTTTTCAAATCAAGCAGTCAAAGCAGAAGAAGTCCATTCGAAGGAGACAACTTAAGACCAATCGAAGAGCATGGCCTGAAAGCATTCGAAAATCAAAAGTGTCCAGGTTCATTCAAGAGACATGAATATTTCAAAAAAAGGAAATTTTTTAATATGTCTGATTCTTGTCTCATGGCTTTAAAGGCCTGGTTAAATGGCTGTCCCTTGCCATTTTCATGCACCCTCACATTCATATAAATACGAGGCAAGTGACACATTACAGAGAGGAACGAAACACAAAAAAAACAGAGGATTTGGAGATACGCTGCCCACAACCCACCAAAGGTTGTCAATATTTTCATAAGTAATCTAAGCCAAAGCAGTCATTCAGCAAACATCTCCACACCCAGCGCCACAGATCATACATCTTTAATTGGTAAGGGTTTGCAAAACCAAAATTGCACCCTCATGACATTTAAATACGCATTGCATATGTATTCCTGTTATTACTGATAATGTTGCATGTAAGCTACAACGCAAAGATGAGATCGTGCCATTGCTTGGGCACGATCTGAGTTTCTCCTTCGAATATCAGGATAAAACGAACCCAGACCCAGATTCAGCAGATTCACGTTGAGGAAGGATCAGAATTGGGAGGAGATTCGAATCAGGGGGGTAAAATCCCCCCTGGACCTTTAACATTTGTCTCGTTTTTGCAGGAAATATCTTCTCAGAATCCTGTTCAGAGCTTCGAAGCTTAGCAGCTTAGCTTCAAACTGGATCCAGGATTTCCAGATCGAAGGATGACATATCCAGATCGAACACCCCCAGAGTGCAGCCCCTCAGGCACCTTAGATCAAGCCTCTTCACTGGATCGAAAGACAACCCACACCTCTTTCAACCCAGGCCTCCAGAATTATACTTTTTTTTTATTTACTGCTTGTTCCTTCGATTTCATTTTTGTTTTGACCATTTTATTTCCTTTTTTAATCAACATAAAATCAAAAACACAAAAACATTAGGATAGTTTTTTTCTATTAAATAAATTTCTTAATTAATCATTTAATTATCTTAACATTTTTCCAAAACTAAAATTAAGTAGATTTAGATCATTTTCTCAAAAACTAAAATTAAGTAGATTTAGATCATTTTCCCAAAATAAAATAAAACAACAAAAAGATTTTATTCTTAGTATTTTTAGATTCGCGCGCGTTTATTTTATTATAACTGCCTACTGGTTTGTGATAGCTTGACTAAGACTTTTACACTTTACTGCTTTTATTCCCCCAATTTTTGGACATGTAAATAATCCCCCTCCCCGAAGCCTTGTAATAGCGTAGGATTTACAATTCCCGCACTTTAAATTCATATACATATATTAACTGTTTAGATGTATGCTAACTAGGATTGCATGACAAGATTAACATTTAAATCAACCGTAGCTCACCAAAACATGTACAAAGATAATATAAACTGAAAATTGACACACTCGCACATGCCACTCTTAGGGTACGCCTCACCTGGTTGCCTCGAACGTGGTCATTGAGTATAGAAAGTCTTAGAGGTCGCCCTCCTGTCCAAAGATCAAAGTTGCCTCGAAATGGTTGCCTCGATAAAAATGATCTAAGACATTAGGGTTACCGCTAAAGCATCCTAACATTGCTTTAGTGACCACACGTCCCTTAATCGAATTTACCCGAAAACTCCAACGATGGTGCTACCTACTCCTCAATAGTGGGATAGCGTTGTCTAAAGGACATTTGCACAGTTTAATTCCTTTTTGAATAGGTAGAGGTTCTTAAGTACTTGCTCCTTTAAAAACAAAACAAAACTTTTCGCACTTACACCCCTTTTAAAACAAAAACTCTTTTCAAACCCACAAACACAAAGAAAAGCAAACTTTTGAAAACACAGTGAGCAAGTACCTAAGAGCCCGTGGATAACCACGGATAGAAAGGGTGATAACACCTTCCCTTTCTATAATCTACCTCCCGAACCCGAGAAATATCTCGAAAAGGAATTTTTCTGTGCTTTTGTCCTTTCCTTGTTGGATAAAATAAAAGACGGTGGCGACTCTTGCTTACCGCGACATTTTGCGAAAACAAACGCAAACGCGAACCAGCATCCCAAAAACAGTCAGTTCTCATTCCCACCGATCACAGAACTGGCGACTCTGCTGGGGAGAATATAAGTGGGGTGTACCTTAGGATTAGATCACTATGTTTTCAATTGTATGATTTGTATGCTTTAATTTTGTGGGCTTGTATCAGAGTTCTATAGATCCTAACTCGGATCTGGGGATACCCTTTAGGTAAGTAGCAATAAACTGTGAGGGATCTGTTCGGCGTATACCGACACGGATGAAGCAGTAGCTACGTTGGTGTGGCACCTTAGTCTGTACCGATATCCCTTGTCTTGAAACGAGGAGAATATGGGTCTTCTAAGGAGTCATTAAGCACCAACTGACCTTAGAACCTTAAATTGACCAACTTGGCCATAGAACTGTAGCAATATGCTACACTCATTGAGACTAAACTCTCGCGATGATTCTGGCTGTAAGAAAAGGTTGCTAAACTGGAATTATGACCAATTGAGGGTAGTCAGTGATATTGAGATCCTCTAGAACCCGGTTACTATTTTTAGGACAGGTTTAAACCAACTAAACTGAAAGAGGGTAATGCCTAAACTCCATGCCAGCCTAAACTTAAGGCTATATGTGTGACTTGTGTGCCTTCAAACTTGAACTACTTGCACATTCTTGTTATCTGACAACATGAGTTCCTTGCAGGTTTTGTTTACAGTCCTTATCCGATAATTTGGATTTATTGCAGGGTTTACTTACATCACTTCACACTTTTGCTTAAACGCATATCATACACAGCATAACATCATGCCTTAACATTTCCTTAACCATTTCAAGGATCTCAAGGGCTTGCGATGCAGGTTATGGTAAATCAAATGTCCAGCAAGGGGCAAAGGGGATTTATTTTCCTCTAGCCAAGGTTGTTTAGAAATCAAAACACGAAAACTTGAGTCAGGGGCTATGACCCACTCGATATGGTGAGCTTGACTCTTGAAGAAGGACTCTCAGCAACATGAAGTTCCTTCAATCAAGCTACCAGATTCAGATTCTAACAGTTTCTTGTTTACC